AGCTGCTTACCTATTGCAGATTCAGTCTTCCCAGCCTGGTGCAGGTCTTTTGACAGCTCTTTGGTCTTGGCCATAGTGGAGTTTGGAGTGTGACTGTTTGAGGTTGTGGACAGGTGTCTTTTATACTGATAACAAGTTCAAACAGGTGCCATTAATACAGGTAACGAGTGGAGGACAGAGGAGCCTCTTAAAGAAGAAGTTACAGGTCTGTGAGAGCCAGAAATCTTGCTTGTTTGTAGGTGACCAAATACTTATTTTCCACCATGATTTGCAAATAAATTCATTAAAAATCCTACAATGTGATTTTCTGTATTTTTTCTCTCTATTTGTCTGTCATAGTTGACGTGTACCTATGATGAAAATTACAGGCCTCTCTCATCTTTTTAAGTGGGAGAACTTGCACAATTGGTGGCTGACTAAATACTTTTTTCCCCCACTGTATGTGTTTGATCATTTATTTTGGTAATCCAACCAATGCTAAATAAGTTGTTTTGAAGTGATTTCCAATGTTATAAGGGTTTATGAAAAGTGTATTTACACGAGTCCTTTGTATTGGTGTAGACTTGATGGACCGTACGGGACTCATTCCCTCATAAACAAAAAGGGGAAATCAATATTTTCTCTGGTAGGCACAACCTACCTGACACCCCTAACAAAAAACGACCTCAAGTTAAAACCGTTACATAAAAAGTGGCACCCCAGTTGGTACTCGAACCTATAATCCCTGGTTTAAGAGGCCAGTGTCTTATCCATTAGGCCACTGGGGCACTTCCCCTTTAATTCCCTATGAAATAGCCAGGACCAGCTGCGCAAAAGGGGCTTGTGAAAGTGGCATGAGAGAGGAAGTGTTCAACCCTCAGCTTGGAAGCTCGTTCATACCCAGTTTGTTTTGTTGTATTTAGAAGTGTGTACTGTAGCTGTGTCGCAGGATCAAGCAGTATCGGATCTACTTATGTCTATTACATGGCACCACTAACAAAAAACAACCTGAAGTCAAAACCGTTACAAGCTGATACACAAAACGACGGCGGATTCTAAAAACGTAGAATTTTTCAATTTAAATTATTATACAAAATTCTTGCAACAAACAGAATGTTATATACAGTGCATTCGGAAAGTATTCAGACCCCTTGACTTCTTCCACATTTTGTTGCATTACAGACTTATTCTAAAATGGATTAAATTGTTTTTCCCCCGTCATCAATCTACACACAATACCCCATAATGACAAAGCAAAAACAGGTTTTTAGAAATGTTTGCAAAAACAAATAAAACTAATAAACTGAAATATCACATTTACAAAAGTATTCAGAGCCCTTACTCAGTATTGAAGCACCATTGGGTATGACGCTACAAGCTTGGCACACCTGTATTTGGGGAGTTTCTCCCATTCTTCTCTGCAGATTCTCTCAAGCTCTGTCAGGTTGGATGGGGAGCATCGCTGCACAGCTATTTTCAGGTCTCTCCAGAGATGTTCGATGGGGTTCAAGTCCGGGCTCTGGATGGGCCACTCAAGGACATACAGTGACTTGTCCCGAGGCCACTCCTGCGTTGTCTTGGCTGTGTGCTTAGGGTCGTTGTCCTGTTGGAAATGTGAACCTTCGCCCCAGTCTGAGGTCCTGAGCGCTCTGGAGCAGGTTTTCATTAAGCATCTCTGTACTTTGCTCTTTTCATCTTTCCCTCAATCCTGACTAGTCTCCCAGTCCCTGCCACTCAAAAACATCCCCACAGCATGATGCTGCCACCACCATGCTTCACCGTAAGGATGGTGCCAGGTTTCCTCCAGACGTGACGATTGGCATTCAGGCCAAAGAGTTCAATCTTGGGTTCATCATGGTCTGAGAGTCCTTTAGGTGTATTTTGGCAAGCTCCAAGAGGGCTGTCATGTGCCTTTTACTGAGGAGTGGCTTCCGTCTGGCCACTCTACCATAAAGGCCTGATTGGTAGAGTGCTGCAGAAATGGTTGTCCTTCTGGAAGGTTCTCCCATCTCCACAGAGGAACTCTGGAGCTCTGTCAGAGTGACCATCGGGTTCTTGGTCACCTCCCTGACCAAGGCCCTTCTACCCCGATTGCTCAGTTTGGCCGGGCGGCCAGCTCTGGGAAGAGTCTTGGTGGTTCCATACTCTTTCCATTTATGAATGATGAGGCCACTGTGTTCTTGGGGACCTTCAATGCTGCAGAAATGTTTTGCTACCCTTCCCCAGATCTGTGCCTCGACACAATCCTGTCTAGGAGCTCTACGGACAATTCCTTTGACCTCATGGCTTGGTTTTTGCTCTGACATGCGCTGTCAACTGTGGGACCTTATATAGACAGGTGTGTGCCTTTCCAAATCATGTCCAATCAATTGAATTTACCACAGGTGGACTCCACTCAAGTTGTAGAAACATATCAAGGATGATCAATGGGAACAGGATGCACCTGAGCTCAATTTCGAGTCTCATAGCAAATGGTCTGAATACTTTTGTAAATAACGTATCTTTTTTTTTCTGGCAAAAATGTCTAAACCTGTTTTCACTGTCATTGTGGGGTATTGTGTGTAGATTGATGAGGGATTTAAAAAAATCAATTTTAGAATAAGGCTGTAACGTAACAAATGGTGGAAAAGAGAAGGGGTCTGAATACTTTCCGCATGCACTGTATATGGGGGATACAACCATCCCAGCTCTACAGAATTTGCTGCGAAGAGAGAACCATTAGATCATTTGTTTTGGTACTGTCCATATGTAGCTTGTTTTTGGTCACAGGTTCAGGAATGGCTGAAGTATTGCAACATTTACCTGGAGCTAACTCTGCAAATAGCCCTGCTGGGTGACTTAAAGTCTGTCAATTGATCAATAATTTAATAATACTTTTAGCAAAAATATTTATTTTCAATCTGTAGAAACAATGAGAAAAGAACATTTCAGAACTATATGGCAAATAGAAATAAAAAATGGATGGTCTTCAGAGATGGATGGGAGGGGTTGAGGGTAGCTAAAGGATGGGATTAAAAACAAATAAAAATAACTATTGTAAAATACATTGTGACCATAAAATATACATAGTATGTATAAGCTGGAAGTAGAAGCCTAAGTGTTGTTGTTCATTAGTTTACTCCAATTAGGGGAGGGGTGGTAGGGTTAGGGGAACATAAAAGGAAAATATATAAGACAATATACACAATCAGTCAAAAGTTTGGACACAACTACTCATTCAAGGGTTTGTCTGTATTTTTAATTTTTTTTACATTGTAGAAAATAGTGAAGACATCAAAACTATGAAATAACACATATGCAATCATGTAATAACCCAAAAAATCGTTAAACAAATCCAAATATATTTTATATTTGAGTATCTTCAAATAGCCACCCTTTGCCTTGATGACAGCTTTGCACACTTCGCATACTCTCAACCAGCTTCATGAGGTAGTCACCTGGAATGCATTTCAATTAACAGGTGTGCTTTCTTAAAAGTTAAATGTGGAATTTCTTTCCTTCTTAATGCTTTTGAGCCAATCAGTTGTGTTGTGACAAGGTTGGGGGGGGGGGTATAAAGTCCTTCAAGTGCAGTCGCAAAAACCATCAAGCGCTATGATGAAACTGGCTCTCAAGAGGACCACCACAGGAATGGAAGACCCGGAGTTACCTCTGCTGGATAAGTTCATTAGAGTTACCAAATAAATGCTTCACAGAGTTCAAGTAACATATCTCAACATCAACTGTTCAGAGGGGACTGTGTGAATCAGGCCATGGTCGAATTGCTGCAAAGAAACCACTACTAAAGGACACCAATAATAAGAAGAGACCTGCTTGGGCCAAGAAACACGAGCAATGGACATTAGACCGGTGTAAATATGTCCTTTAGTCTGGAGTCCAAATTTGAGATTTTTGGTTCCAACCGCTGTGTCTTTGTGAGACGCGGTGTGGGTGAACAGATGATCTCTGCATGTGTAGTTCCCACCGTGAAGCATGGAGAAGGAGGTGTGATGGTGTGGGGTGCTTTGCTGGTGACACTGTCGGTGATTTATTTAGAATTCAAGGCACACTTAACCAGCATGGCTACCACAGCATTCTGCAGCGATACGCCATCCCATTTGGTTTGCGGTTAATGGGACTATCATTTGTTTTTCAACAGGACAATGACCCAAAACACACCTCCAGGCTGTGTAAGGGCTATTTGACCAAGGAGAGTGATGGAGTGCTGCATCAGATGACCTGGCCTCCACAATCACCCGACCTCAAACCAATTCAGATGGTTTGGGATGAGTTGGACAGCAGAGTGAAGGAAAAGCAGCCAACAAGCGCTCAACATAATAATAATAAAAAAGAATATGCCATTTAGCAGACGCTTTTATCCAAAGCGACTTACAGTCATGTGTGCATATTTTATTTTTTAGGTATGGGTGGTCCCGGGGATCGAACCCACTACCCTGGCGTTACAAGCGCCATGCTCTACCAGTTGAGCTACAGAGGACCACAACATATATGTGGGAACTCCTTCAAGACTGTTGGAAAAGGTGAAGCTGGTTGAGAGAATGCGAAGTGTGCAAAGCTGTCATCAAGGCAAAGGGTGGCTATTTGAAGAATCTCAAATATAAAATATATTTTGATTTGTTTAACACTTTTTTGGTTTCTACATGATTCCATATGTGTTCTTTCATAGTTTCGATGTCTTCACTATTATTCTACAATGTAAAAAATTTTAAAAATAAAGAAAAACCCTTGAATGAGTAGGTGTGTCCATACTTTTGACTGGTACTGTACATTACACTGGGCTTGCATTGCAACCTAATAATGCAAGGGTTAATAGGTCAAGTCCAAATCTGGGTTAAAATAATATTCCAAATATTTCATTTGCTTGAGCCTGTCTGGAGTGTCAGATGGATGGGATATTCATAGTCGGGATGATTCTATTGTGCCAGATTTCAAGCACAGATTTTCAAATCCTATTTAAACCCAGATGGGTAAATAACTTGTCTTATCACACTAGACACTCTATCCGACAAGGGTACTCACTACTTCCTCTTATGTTCTCCTGCACCCTCTATGTTGTAGCTGGAGATCTGAACCAGGCCCTCCGCTTTCTCTTCCTGACAATGACAAAGAAAGAAATAGGTTAATCAACCACAACTACTGCAGCCATTATAGCCTGGTTACTCCACACTGAACCCTACGAGTGTTCAGTCCACTTTAACCAGGCTACTGCATTTCCAATCAATCAAATGTATTTATAAAGCCCTTTTTACATCAGCAGATGTATACAGTGCTATACAGATACCCAGCCTAAAACCCCAAACAGCAAGCAATGCAGATGTAGAAGAATTCTATACAGTGAGCACGTCGTTGAAAATAAGTATACGTCTCTTCTAACGTCTTTTGTGCCTGGTAGTTTTGATAAGGACTGCCTCATAAGAGGCAATGCTTATCACAATTACCAGGCATAAAAGACATACAGATAATGCCAAATCACATTGCACAGTGTAAACCTGTTTAGCTAGATAAAACTGAACCGTGTGCTACCACAACCAAATGCAATAATATTATCACAGTCATAGTGATAAATGCAACTCTCTGAGCCATGTTATTATTGGTCCTCCATCACATTATGTGCATAAACCTGCCAATGAGATACTGTGTATAATATGTGCATATTGTAATATAATAATAATAAATGCATATTGTCTATTATCTGCTGTAACCTGGCCAAGGACATCAGATGAAAACTAACTTTTATGGCTAACACAAGCACTTTTACTATACATTGATATGAGGTGTAGAATGCTGATTCATGTGCATTGTCTCTGTCAACGCAATAAGATTAATACACTCATAAGATTGTGTTCACTTGGGGTACATTCAGTGAAGTGAAACGTTTTGATAGAAATGTCATGAATAAAGCTGCCATGATTCCCCATTTTCTTCATGACAGACAATCCTATCTGGTCTACACAATACCATACAATCTACACCATTATGTATGCACCCTCCTGAACAGTTATCAAGTCCTGGAATATTAAAGCATCATACATGATTGTGTTTAACGGTTTTTCTTTCCTGACCCTTTTTGAGGGGGGATGTGTGGGGAGTTGGGGGGGCTCAACTGGGTTAGCACTGGTAACATAGTTATAACTAATAAAACAGTTAATACAGTCAATTAAACAGTTAATAGAACAGTTAATATTTATAACTAATAAAACAAAGGACCTCACCTGCTGACTGGTGTACCAGTAGAGAGTGGGGCCTTTGAGGACGAACCAGAAACGCTGCCACTTCTGGGTCATGAACACACTGCTCTCCTTCCTCTTCTTCCACAGCCAGCCGTCACACTCGGGCCGACTCAGCTCACGACACGACACACGCCGCCTGCTCATCGCTGTACGCGTACCTAAGGGGGGTGGGGGGGCGACGGGAGAGGGTGTCAAAGTCAAGGTACCACAATCTCATGCACATCGAAATACCGGTTGTGAAAATAGGTACAGTACATGTAAAGTACTCTAAATAAATAAGGAAAACTGATTTTGAAAACCCAAACTTACCTTTTCTAGACACATTTTTTGGTTCTTTATCCTCCTAAAATGAAAACAGCAGAGAACTTGTGCTCAATTCAATTCAGTCTGAAAAAACGTAATTGTCTATCCAAATTGTCTTTCCAAAAAGCTCACATGCAACACATTAAAACATCACATGTAGAGCGCGACTACAGAAACAAACCTCATCCCCATCATAACCATCACCATAAAACTGTGTGTGTGTGTGTCTCTCTCACCATATGTCCGCCCATCTCAGGGCAGGAACTAATGGAACTGATGCTGGCTCTGCCTAGCTCTATTACCCGGGGGGACGGACTTCTGGAGGGCGCAGAGGCCTCTCCCCTCGGCCCGGGGCTGAGCCTGGACCCCTCCAAACCCTCGGCTTCTCCTAGGACAGACACATGCGTACACACACAGGTGAGAACACTTTTTATACAACACAGCACAATTACAGTCACTACTAAATGCAACAACTAACATTCTGTCTCCAAAAGTCTTACTTTAGCTGGTATTTAGGGTCATGCTCAGTAGCAAAAATATTTAGAAAGGTTTTCAAGCGGAAAATTCCTCCCTTTATTGGCTAAATTCTTCAATGTTCTTTCCTGTTTTCCTCTTGTTTCTTACCAACTGGTTTTGGATGCTGAGATTAACTGAACAGGGCCTTGGTAGGCTATCTTCTGAAAAGTTATGACGATAAGCGGTGTCGTCTGAAGACAAGTTCAAACTGTACTTATTTCTGATACTTACTTGAACGATACATAGTGACGCTTGTTCAAATGAAAAAAGGGAATCAATAAGATAACTATTATTACATTATTACCATTTATTGTAATGCCAGTGTGCCCCAGAACAAGTTCTACCAGATTGTCACTATCTGGCCAAGTTGCAAAGTCGGATGCCCAGGCTAATTGTTATACAATTTATCTTCTTTAAATTTGATTTTAAACTTAACCCTAACCTTAACTACACTGCTAACATTATGCCTAACCTTAAATAAAGACCAAAAAGCTCAATTTTGTTTTCAGAAATGTTTACAATTTAGCCAATTTTGACTTTTCAGCTTGGCTATCAAGTGGGAACCCTTCTCCATTTATGGTCATGTCTATGGTTTCCGACCTGATGACAGGTATGAGAGGTCCCCCTGGTGGACGGGGTGTGATGTGTATATCAGGCTGCCGTCCAATCCCCTGTCGCTGGACAGCTCCGATTTCTCCTGGCCCATGGGCTGGATATCCACTGGCCCTTGAACTGCAGCCCTACATACAGGTAGAGGGGCATACTTTACCACATTAACACTATCCATCCACAGACTTACGTGATGCAGACTTCGTCGGGAGAGGTTGTGTTTTTCTCTAGCAGGAGGTAAGCTTGGCTTCTCATATGGTGTTGAGTAAAGCTTAAACCATGTATTTAGATCGTAGGTAGGTAGTTTATTTAGGTAGTTATTGTAGGTTTCCGTAGGCAATTATTGTAGGTAAGTATTGTTTACATATTGTTTAAGTATTGTTACGGCGGAGCCCGGCGAAGCACGAGGCTAGCTAGCTAGCGGGTAGCTACTGGTAACTTTTATTGGTTATTATCTGTTTAGTGCAATGGTGGAGAGCGGTTTCCAATGTTAATGTGCTAGCTAATGTGCTAGCTAGCCAACGTTATTTTTTTTTTGCTGCGTTATGAAAGGAACTTGACACGGACATGAATTATCTGTTTTGTGTGTTAACACAGTCTTGGTATGCTAGCTAGCTAGCGGGTAGCTACTGGTAACGTTTATTGGTAATTATCTGTTTAGTGCAACGGTGGAGAGTTGTTTCCAATGTTAATGTGCTAGCTAACCAACGTTTAATTTTTGCTGCGTTACGAAAGAAACTAGACACGGACATGAATTATCTGTTTAGTGTGTTAACACACTCTTGGTAGTTTGTTGTAACCAAGTATTGGTGCTAAACTGTGTGTTATTGGATGCTAGCATGCTAGTTAGCTATGGCGTCATAGCTAGGCATCGTGGGCTGTTGTGGTTAGTTACTGTGGGTTGGCATTGTTGTTCGGCGGTGCCGGGGGTAGCACGAAGCTAGCTAGCTAGCCGTTCTTCAAACAAGGTCAACACAGTGGCCATTGCTAGCTAGCCAACAGACACGGACACGAATTATCTGCTTAGTGTGTTAACACACTATTGGTGGTTTGTTGTGACCAAGTGTTGGCGCTAAACTGTGTGTTTTTGGATGCAAGTGTTGGTGCTAAACTGTGTGTATTTGGATGCTAGCATGCTAGTTAGCTATGGTGTCATAGTTAGCTAGCTGAATAAAGTGGGTTGAGTCTATTCCTTTAAACATTGAATCGATGTGGTTCACAACAATTCTGATTTCTAAAGGTGGAAGTTGGTAGAGTTTTTGTTCGGGTGGTTCAGTGAAACAATTATAGTTGTTAGAAGTAGAAGTTTTTGGTGAGGGAGGCCCTGCTCTCTACCCTCCCAGATGTTTAGTTCATTTCATTCCGATCTCCTCTGCATTATTGTAGCCATTTGCTACAGCCTGTCAACTATGCCTCTGCCTATCCCTGTTCTCTCCTCTCTGCACAGGCTACACAAACGCCCCACACCGCGTGGCTGCTGCCTCTCTAACCTGGTGGTCCCTGCACGCACCCCACACCTGGAGTTCCAGGTCTCAGGCAGCCTCTGGAACTGCCGTTCTGCTGCCAACAAAGCTGACTTCATCCCAGCCTATGCTAATCTCCAGTCCCTCGACTTCCTGGCGCTGACGGAAACATGGATTACCACTGAAAACACTGCTACTCCTACTGCTCTCTCCTCGTCTGACCATGTGTTCTCGCATACCCCGAGAGCATCTGGTCAGAGGGGTGGTGGCACAGGAATCCTCATCTCTCCCAAGTGGACATTCTAAATTTTTCCCCTAACCCATCTGTCTATCTCCTCATTTGAATTCCATGCTGTCACAGTCACTAGCCCATTTAAGCTTAATATCCTTGTCATCTATCGCCCTCCAGGTTCCCTTGGAGAGTTCATCAATGAGCTTGACGCCTTGATAAGTTCCTTTCCTGAGGATGGCTCACCCCTCACAGTTTTGGGGGATTTCAACCTCCCTATGTCCACATTTGACTCATTTCTCTCTGCCTCCTTCTTTCCACTTCTCTCCTCTTTTGACCTCACCCTCTCACCGTCCCCCCCTACTCACAAGGCAGGCAATATGCTTGACCTCATCTTTACTAGATGCTGCTCTTCTACTAATCTCACTGCAACTCCCCTCCATGTCTCCGACCACTACTTTGTTTCCTTTTCTCTCTCGCTCTCCTCCCACACTACTCACTCTGCCCCTACACAGATGGTAATGCGCCGCCACAACCTTCGCTCTCTCTCTCCCACTACTCTCTCCTCTTCCATCCTATCATCTCTTCCCTCTGCTCAATCCTTCTCCCTCCAATCTCCTGATTCTGCCTCCTCAACCCTCCTCTCCTCCCTTTCTGCATCCTTTGACTCTCTGTGTCCCCTATCCTCCCGGCCGGCTCGGTCCTCCCCTCCAGCTCCGTGGCTTGATGACTCATTGCGAGCTCACAGAACAGAGCTCCGGGCAGCGGAGCGGAAATGGAAGAAAACTAAACTCCCTGCCGACCTGGCATCTTTTCACTCCCTCCTCTCTACATTTTCTTCATCTGTTTCTGCTGCTAAGGCCACTTTCTACCACTCTAAATTCCAAGCATCTGCCTCTAACCCTAGGAAGCTCTTTGCCACATTTTCCTCCCTCCTGAATCCTCCCCCCCCCCGCCTCTCTCTCTGTGGATGACTTCGTCAACCACTTTGAAAAGAAGGTTGACAACATTCGATCCTCGTTTGTTAAGTCTAATGACACTGCTGGTCCTACTCACACTGCCCTACCCTATGCTTTGACTTCTTTCTCCCCTCTCTCTCCAGATAAAATCCTGCGACTTGTGACTGCAGGCCGCCCAACAACCTGCCCGCTTGACCCCATCCCCTCCTCTCTTCTCCAGACCATCTCCGGTGACCTTCTCCCCTACCTCACCTCGCTGATCAACTCATCCTTGACCGCTGGCCATGTCCCTTCCGTCTTCAAGAGAGCGAGAGTTGCTCCCCTTCTCAAAAAACCAACACTCGATCCCACTGATGTCAACAACTACAGACCAGTATCCCTTCTTTCTTTTCTTTCCAAAACTATTGAGCGTGCCGTCTTTAGCCAACTCTCTTGCTATCTCTCTCAGAATGACCTTCTTGATCCAAACCAGTCAGGTTTCAGGACTGGTCATTCAACTGAGACTGCTCTTCTCTGTGTCACGGAGGCTCTCCGCACTGCTAAAGCGAACTCACTCTCCTCTGCTCTTGTCCTTCTAGACCTGTCTGCTGCCTTTGATACTGTGAACCATCAGATCCTCCTCTCCACCCTCTCCGAGCTGGGCATCTCCGGCGCGGCTCACTCCTGGATTGCGTCCTACCTGACTGGTCGCTCCTACCAAGTGGCGTGGCGAGAAGCTGTCTCCGCACCACGTGCTCTCACCACTGGTGTCCCCCAGGGCTCAGTTCTAGGCCCTCTCCTTTTCTCCCTATACACCAAGTCACTTGGCTCTGTCATATCCTCACATGGCCTCTCCTATCATTGCTACGCTGACGATACACAACTAATCTTCTCCTTTCCCCCTTCTGATAACCAGGTGGCGAATCGCATCTCTGCATGTCTGGCAGACATATCAGTATGGATGACGGATCACCACCTCAAGCTGAACCCTGGCAAGACGGAGCTGCTCTTCCTCCCGGGGAAGGACTGCCCGTTCCATGATCTCGCCATCACGGTTGACAACTCCGCTGTGTCCTCCTCCCAGAGTGCGAAGAGCCTAGGCGTGACCCTGGACAACACCCTGTCGTTCTCCGCCAACATCAAGGCGGTGACCCGCTCCTGCAGGTTCATGCTCTACAACATTCGGAGAGTACGACCCTGCCTTACACAGGAAGCGGCACAGGTCCTAATCCAGGCACTTGTCATCTCCCGTCTGGACTACTGCAACTCGCTGTTGGCTGGCCTCCCTGCCTGTGCCATTAAACCCCTACAACTCATCCAGAATGCCGCAGCCCGTCTGGTGTTCAACCTTCCCAAGTTCTCTCACGTCACCCCCCTCCTCCGCACACTCCACTGGCTTCCAGTTGAAGCTCGCATCCGCTACAAGACCATGGTGCTTGCCTATGGAGCAGTGAGGGGAACGGCACCTCTGTACCTTCGGGCTCTGATCAGTCCCTACACCCAAACGAGGGCATTGCGTTCATCCACCTCTGGCCTGCTGGCTCCCCTTCCTCTGCGGAAGCATAGTTCCCGCTCAGCCCAGTCAAAACTGTTCACTGCTCTGGCACCCCAATGGTGGAACAAGCTCCCTCACGACGCCAGGACAGCGGAGTCACTCACCACCTTCCGGAGACATTTGAAACCCCACCTCTTTAAGGAATACCTGGGATAGGATAAAGTAATCCTTCTACCCCCCCCAAAAAAAATTTGTAAAGTGATTATCCCACTGGCTATAGGGTGAACGCACCAATTGGTGAGTCGCTCTGGATAAGAGCGTCTGCTAAATGACGTAAATGTGCCCTTGAGCAAGGCACTTAACCCTAATTGCTCCTGTAAGTCGCTCTGGATAAGAGCGTCTGCTAAATGACTAAAATGTAATGTAAATGTAACACTATATCTCAGCCCTGCACACCACACCTGGGATTGAGGGGAAGAGGGGGCACACTTAGTCACACTAACACCAAAGCTGGTTTAGTATGAAGATATGTAGAAACTGCTTCTAATAGAAATCTTCAATCGTGCTTGTAGGTGATGTCATGGTGACGTTGGCTAGCTAAGCTCATGCGCAGAAACACGTCATCGGTGTAATGGTCGAACTGCGCATGTGCAGGCCGTCAAATCAAAGGCATTCCTTCGATGTAAAATAGTTTTTGACAAAAATGAAAACGTGTCAGTTTGTTACTTTCATGAGGTTGGAGTAATAACATGGTCAGCTACTTAAGACATTGTCTCAAATCTAGGTTGTGCCTTTAGATTTGGAGAAAATGTACAACTAAAAGGAATCATTTTTCACTTCTCTCATTGACTTCTCAAACCCCAATCTGGTCTGCAGTCTGCTTCGCAAGCGTTCCCGGAAGTTTCGTGATGTTGGGCCTCTGGGTTTAGGAAGTCTCACACACAACACCATCACTAAAGAGTTGGAGGGGCCAAGAACTATAACATTGACATAGAAGCCTGAAGCAGGAAATACCCTAACTTCATGTGTTACATTTGTATTTTTCGAGGTGGTGAATATTAAATAATATCATTGTAAGACCATTGTGGAGGTTATGAAAGCAACTGACAAACTTTCATTTTAAGGCAAACTTCCCCTTTAAAGTGCCATTAAATCTGGATATATCATTTTAACAAAAACTCATCAGAAGTCAGAATTCGTCTCCACTCACATAGGAGATCAATGTGAGATTGTGAGTCAAATGATTTTCAGACAGTAGCACAGGACACAATATAATTTACTGGTTGGTTTCCAGTATGCTGTGGGTGGGCGAGTATTATGGTCAATGACAGCCTATGACAGCCTTACTGGCATTTGCAACATGACCTTCATTGGTCCATTACAGAGTCATGCTGTCTGTTTCCAACAGGTCAGACAAGTTGTGTGAGAGGCAACATTTCGGACATTTCTTTTTAAAATCAGCCATTACAGACAGGAAAGAGGTTTTAGGCTCAAACAACTGAAGAGTTTCTGCCTAAAATATGTTAAGTAGGAGAAAAAATAACATCTCTCTTCATTGAAAAATACTGGACTTCATTTGATGAAGATAAAAAATATGTTAAATGGTTGTGTAAAATGGAGTATTTCAGCGCTACATATATATACACAGAGGAAGTACTGAAGTAGTAGTACTCATGTCTGGTGTGTGTGTGTGTGTGTGTGTGTGTGTGTGTGTGTGTACTCACCTGAATGACAGGGACCTGACCGAGGCTGCTACTCTCTCGAACACAGAGTGTCTCTGGTTGCCCTCTTCTTCTCCTTCCTCCTCTTCCTCCTCCTCCTCTTCCTCTTTCTGAAAACCAGCCAGCAGAAAATATGAGAACCCACCGCCCACTTCAGATGAAGAGATAGGGTGTGAAGTTGTGAACTCTGCTCAGTTCCTTTTAATACAGTGTGTGTCTCTGAACTGAGCCCTCAGGACAAAAGGCAGCTTTTATCATCCATATAAAATCCTACTCTTCAGCCTCCACTCACCTGCAGCGCACACCTACTAGCAACGTGCATGCCCCGCCCACCTGATTATCTGTCTTTTTCCGCCATCTATTTCCTGTGTTTGAGGGGTGCAAAATCCACTTGTCATTTAAATCTCGCTGGATTGATTGCTTTTATTTTACTCCTGCGACTCTTTCACACTTTTATGACCGTGGAAATGTTTGTAATGACCTGTCAAACACACTCCGGTAATGGCTGAAATGGCCTCAATGGAATACAATGTCTTTCCGTTGCATCTATAGGAACGCTAAAGCTTCATCGGGGATTTAACGCACCGTCTCGACACTTATATCACAAGAAAGTCAAGAAAGATAACTATTTTGATGGTTGTACAGTTTTTTTTTGTGGATTTGAAAAAAGTAATAATTTAATATAGTTGAAATGTTCATCAATTAGAAGTGCTGAAATGAAAGCAACATCGGAAAATGAACACTCGGATTATAGTGATATTATGTCTGATCTCGCAAACAATGTAAAGTAGGTATAATCTAGAGCCAAGTGTGTTGATTTTTTATCTGAGGGTGTCCTGCTATTGACACATTTGTTAAATTATGCAAGAGAATGTGACAACAACACTAATTAATGAGGCAGTCTAGACAGCTCAGCTGAGTGCAGGTGGGGTAGATAGAACAAGTTGTTGGTGGTTGCAGCCCTGTTCCACCCCTTGATGTTAATATTCATATATGCAAATACACCTGGTGTGAGTTATGCAAATTAGGTACATATACTTTTCTTTATTTTAAACACAAAGTATTTTTTTAAATACCTGATATAATAACAATATCTATATAGGAGTGTATTCTAAGATGTATTTTATTTTATTTGACAATAAATTGAATATCTGAATTCCCAACAAAATCCCTGAACTCCATTCATTATTTGTCCATGCCAGTAAAATATTTTACATGTTATAATTATTATTGGATTATAAAAATGCAAAGTTTGGAGTATCGTGACCACACGCACAGGACCTGACGCCAATGACAAAACCAGGACACCTGCTTCTGGGCACTAAAGGCAGCGAGCATCAATACACATGACTGATTGACATTACATTTACATTTTAGTCATTTAGCAGACGCTCTTATCCAGAGCGACTTACAGGAGCAATTAGGGTTAAGTGCCTTGCTCAAGGGCACATCGACAGATTTTTCACCTAGTCGGCTCGGGGATTAGAACCAGCGACCTTTCGGTTACTGGCACAACGCTCTTAACCACTAAGCTACCTGCCGCCCCACACATGGCTTGCTGTCTCAGTGTTCAGCCTACGGCACAGGCTGGCTTTGACACGTGAGTCATGTAACGAGGGGTGGCGGAGTAGTCAGCTGTGTGTGTGTGCATGATAAAAGTGTGTGTGTATGAGAGGGAAAAAATGTGTGTGTGTGTGTGTGTGTGTGTGTGTGTGTGTGTGTGTGTGTGTGTGTGTGTGTGTGTGCGCATGTCCGTGATGTGTGTTTCGGTATAGACAGAGACAAAACAGTCGGCAGGGTGAGAGCCTGAAGGATTGAAAGTGGGGATAACAAACAGATAAACCCACGTGACCAGAGGTTATCCAAGGTTAGCCAGAGGGAATCCTCTCTATGAAAGCCTATAGGTCTAAATGGATGTGTTTCCTGGGTCCAGTATGTGCTGGTGGTGGTGGTGGTGGTGTGTGTGTGTGCGTGTGTACTGCCTGCGTGCAAATGTGTGTGTGTGCGTCCTCATGTGAATGCGTGTATGTACGCTTGCAGTGTATGCTTCCCACTGTACCCCAGCAGCCTACCTGTGGCGAGGGGGGCTGTTGGGCTGGCTCTTTGCGTCTCAGTGACACCGGGACCTTCTTGAGGACCAGCGTCACCCCACTGGGGTTCTCCTTCAGTTTTTTCACTAGGTTCTTCCTGCTCCAGCCAACCTGACAAAGCAGAGCACCATGGGAGTTGGAGTTCATATAGAGTTAAGTACTATAATGACCTAGATCTGGGTTCAAATAGTATTTGAAATCTTTCGAATACCTTCAGTTTGCTTGAGCCTGCCTAAAGTGAGAAATGGGTGGGTTTTGCACGTTCAGGACTTTCTCAATGGTTATTTTGTGTTGCGCAAGCTCAATAATTTTTTTTATTTTTTTTTATATCACCTTTATTTAACCAGGTAAGCCAGTTGAGAACAAGTCCTCATTTACAACTGCGACCTGGCCAAGATAAAGCAAAGCAGTGCGATAAAAACAACAACACAGAGTTACATATGGGGTAAACAAAACAAAGTCAAAAATACAACAGAAAATATATATACAGTGTGTGCAAATGTACTAAATTATAGAGGTAAGGCAATAAATAGGCCATATTGCAAAATAGTTACAATTTAGTATTAACACTTGAATGATAGACGTGCAAGAGATGATGTGCAAATAGAGATACTGGGGAGCAAATTAGCTAAATAAATAACAATATGGGGATGAGGTAGTTGGATGGGCTAATTACGGTTGGGCTGTGTACCGGTGCAGTGATCGGTAAGCTGTTCTGACAACTGACGCCGAAAGTTAGTGAGGGAGATAAGAGTCTCCAGCTTCAGAGATTTTTGCAGTTTGTTCCAGTCATTGGCAGCAGAGAACTGGAAGGAATGGCGGCCAAAGGAGGTGTTGGCTTTGGGGATGACCAGTGAGATATACCTGCTGGAGCGCAGACTACGGGTGGGTGTTGCTATGGTGACCAGTGAGCTAAGATAAGACGGGGATTTGCCTAGCAGTGATTTATAGATGACCTGGAGCCAGTGGGTTTGGCGACGAATATGTAGTGAGGGCCAGCCAACAAGAGCGTACAGGTCACAATGGTGGGTAGTATATGGGGCTTTGGTGACAAAACGGATGGCACTGTGATAGACTACATCCAATTTGCTGAGTAGAGTATTGGAGGCTATTTTGTAAATGACATCGCCGAGGTCAAGGATCGGTAGGATAGTCAGTTTTACGAGGGCATGTTTGGCAGCATGAGCGAAGGAGGCTTTGTTGCGAAATAGGAAGCCGATTCTAGATCTAACTTTTGATTGGAGATGCTTAATGTGAGTCTGGAAGGAGAGTTTAAAGTCTAACCAGACACCTAGGTATTTGTAGTTGTCCACATACTCTAGGTCAGACCCACCGAGAGTAGTGATTCTAGTCGGGTGGGCGGGTGCAACAGCGTTCGGTTGAAGAGCATGCATTTAGTTTTACTAGTGTTTTTAGAGCAGTTGGAGGCTACGGAATGAGTGTTGTATGGCGTTGAAGCTCGTTTGGAGGTTTGTTAACACAGTGTCCAATGAAGGGCCAGATGTATACAAAATGGTGTCGTCCGCATAGAGGTGGATCCGAGCGTCACCAGCAGCAAGAGCAACATCATTGATATACACAGAGAATAGAGTCGGCCCGAGAATTGAACCCTGTGGCAGCCCCATAGAGACTGCCAGAAGTCCAGACAACAGGCCCTCCGATTTGACACATTGAACTCTATCTGAGAAGTAGTTGGTGAACCAGGCGAGGCAGTCATTTGAGAAACCAAGGTTGTAACATACAGTGCAACCTACACGTTCAACATAATGGAAATTCCAGTGTTGTACAGTATTGATTTAACCTAGTCCCAGATCTGTTTGTGCTGTCTAGCCAACTCCTATGGTCATTGTCTGGCAAGACAGCACAAACAGATTTGCGACCATGCTAGTATCAATTAACTTTTTCCTTATGATCCATTTTCCTTCTAACCCAATAAATCAATGAGATGTTTTATTTAATGGAATAGAGTGAACGTGGATTCTATTAACAATATGGAACAGTTAACACCGATGGCCTTTGAGTCACATTACTAGGACCATGGTTGCTCACCCCTCTCTCATTTGATCGGTAGCAGATCAGATATACTCTGATAATGATAATTATCAGATCAATTCTCCACTGTGGCAGATAATGTTATAACAGTCATATTCAGTATCATTATTAGCATCATGCTTGGCTAGTCCAGACTTGGCTCCAAGTAGCACACTAAATACTCACCACAATCTGGTCATTGACTTGGATCACCTCGTCTCCAGCCAGTATCTTCTCACAGAACTCAGCGGGTGACTGCAATACACAAGCCAATAACTAAACACACAAACGCACACTACTATAGACTATGTATGACGGACGTAACATTGTCGCTGGGATTTGACCTCTGACCTTAATTGGTTTAAAAGAGGAATCAAATCAAATCTTATGTCACATGCTTCGTAAACAGCAGTGAAATGCTTACTTAGGGTCAGAGGTTAAAAGTCTGAGCGGGATTGTGTACTAAATCATGCATACTGTACGTGCACATGTGCATGCACCGAGTGTGCATGTGCTGTTCTCTCTCTCTAGAATGCATCCAGAGGGCTTCAGATAGACTCCAGTAGCAGTAGCCAGAGGAGTCAGTCTATATTCTGATTATGACATCATGGAAAAACAACATCTCTATCCAAGGCTGTCCCAGAGAAGAGACTGTACTGTACTAACGCTTGGTTCCCTCTATCCTTTCCCTGGCAAGCCTTCATCTAACTGTGAGAGTAATAAAATAAAATAGCCAAGCAACCAACCGATCACGTAGGAATGATCTTTTTTACATTTACGTCATTTAGCAGACGCTCTTATCCAGAGCGACTTACAGTTAGTGCATACATTTTTTATTTATTTTTTATACTGGCCCCCCGTGGGATCAGCATTCTATTCTATTTTATATGTACATTTGTATCATTTAGCAGATGCTCTTATCCAGAGCAACTTACAATCAGTGCATTCAAGTAAGTTAGGTAAAACAATAACCGCACATCACAATCATTGCATTTATTCCATTCAGGCCTATGTACATGTACTGTAATAGTAGACAGACACAGCCATATGTGAACCACCTAAAATGATCAGGGAAAAACTCCTGGCCATAAAAAGCGACCTGCTTCCACCAGTCAATAACATCATTAAGCAAGACATTTCACAAAAGACCATTCAAGTTTTATTTGTCATGCACAAGTACAGTGAAATGCTTAACTTGCGAGCCCTTCCACTAACGACCATTCAAGTGCCCATTCTCTTTCACAACACTAAATCCTCACTAATCAACCTTGATAATGTATGCAACTCCGTAGGTTTAGTAACAACCACATAGGATTACCAGTCTTAGACAGGTCAGTGGGTGCATCCCAAATGGCACCCTATTCCCTATATAGTGGACTACTTTTGACGAGAGTGGTGTGAAGTGTGAACAATCCTCCCACTGTAGCAGCTTGTGATAAACATTACGCCTTTATAGTGAATAGTGGCATCATTATACTGTGATTATACTGTCTTACAGCTGATGCCATGAGGCCCATGTTTTCTGCTGATTCTATCTAGCGTGGTAATCCCCTGATATGTGGTTTTAACAGAGTACTTGCACTTGGCAACTGTCCCTCTACAGTATGGCCGACTGAAGCTAGCTAGATTAACTAATGGTTATTTAGAAATCTACAGTGCACACACAGAAACACACACACAGTAAATACAGTGGGGTACTCAATTATTGATACCCTTGATAAAGATGAGCAACAATGACTAAAATAAATAATTCAAATACTGAGCTATATCGTTTGCTTAAAAAAATAAAAATGGGGGAAATTATTTTATTTTATACAAATACAATTACTCAGAAAGAGATTGTGTTTAACAAGTAATACTTTTATTCTCAAAGGTAGGGGTCAAAGCTATTGACACCCCTAAAGATTAAGTAGTCAAAAGTTTAGTATTTGGTCTCATATTCCTAACACGCAATGACTAAATCAAGCTTGTTGGATGCATTTGCAGTTTGTTTTGGTTATGTTTCAGATTATTTTGTCCCCAATAGAAATGAATTGTAATGTATTGTGTCATTTTGGAGTCACTTTTACTGTAAATAAGAATATAATATGTTTCTAAACACTTCTACATTATTGTGGATGCTACCATGATTGCGGATAATCCTGAATGAATCGTGAATAATGATGATAAAGTTAGACGCACAAATGTCATACCCCCTAGACATGCTAACCTCTCACCATTACCAATAACAGGGGAGGTTAGCATATCTTGGGGGTATCTGTAATCATGGTAGCGTCCACATTAATGTAGAAGTGTTTAGAAACATATTCTACTCTTATTTACAATAAAATTGACTCCAAAATGACACAATACATTATTGACCTTTTATTTCTATTGGACACAAAATAATCTGAAACACAACCAAAATTAACTGCAAATGCATCCAACAAGTTTGTAGTCACAAGCTTGATGTAGTCTTTGCATGCTAGGAATGTGGAACCAAATAGTAAACTTATGACTACTTTATTTATAGGAATCTTTAGGGGTGTCAATAATTGACACCTACCTTTTTGCGAAAAAAAAAAGTATTACTAAACAAAATCTCTTTCTCTTATCAATTGTATTAGCATAAAATTAGATCATGTCCAAATGTTTTGGAGCATAAAATATAGCTCAGTATTTGAATAATTTATTTTATACAGTCATTATTGCTCATCTTTATCAAGGGTGTCAATTTCAGACCCCATTGTACACCCACCCACACAGTACAGCAGACCTTCCAAATGTCAAGGCAATGCAACCCATTAGTCCTATGGGGTTTGTTTAAAGTAAAGTGCATTTCTATGCTAATGCATGGTAAGAGCCCATGGCATTGGGCTCTGAAGGACAGGGTTGAGAGGGGAAGGAGAGAATAGAGGAGAATAAAGAGTCTGACCTCTGCGGTGGTGCCTGTGATGTAGTGATTACTGGAGCCAGTGGACGTTATCTCGATGCCCTGGAAGGGAGACAGCATGGTAATGTAAAATACATTCAAAGAAAGACAGAAAGAAAAAAAAAGAAAAAACACAAAAAACAAGATAGCTAGATAAAGAGAGAGAGAAATTCCATGCGTTCTGTGCCCAATGTATCTGATGTACTACAGTTAATCATCCATCAACCTGCCACAACAACACAATACCTTCTAGTACTGCAGTGCTGATGTTATTCAACATCTTACTACACATCTCCTATCTCATTCTACTCCGGCTCTAATGTCATGTACTGTATGTGTAGGTACATACTGATTCATATGTCATGTCATTTCTCCCTTGGGGTCCTGCTTGATATTTGCGCAGGTACGCTAAGGGGAGCCGTGTGGATCACGATCACGCACGGCCCAGCCACGATCAATACACATCACATGATTCCTGGGGCTTGTAGACATGCCTCTAATAATGACTTATTGACTGGAGCAGATCTGAGAATAGATCTGAATCTGAAAGGCCACCGCCACGTCCCTCATTAGTGTACAACGTAGCAAAACATTTAGCAACAGAAACAAAGACAAGCATTTCTTATTGGACATGTTCAGGTAGTCCCTCCCTGTTTCAGTATTCAGTTTTCTTCCGTTTGGTGCCTAATGAACACAGCCCAGCTCTTGTTGACTGAAGATGAAGGGAGAGATGATAATGATGGTCAGATGAGACTAGAACAGACCTGGGTATTATTAGGGTCATTGCACCAAATGAGTACCTTTTGCATAGTGTTTAAGATATGAGTGCATTGCCCTGTTACGATCAACCCTGATACTTTATTTGGCACTTACTATAGGATTTAACCTCTTGAGATGGAAAATGTATGTGTTTGTGCAACAAATGTTGGTGCATCGAATCATATCGCATCTAATCACATCAATTCGTTCCTCTAATCAAACCGAATCGCACCAAATCGTTTCAAACTAAAACGTATCGTTCCTGTATCGTATCGGATACATATCAAATTGTCTTGAAAGGGAAAGATGCGCATCCCTACTATCTATGGGTAACAGGGTTGACGTGTTATGTAGGCGAGGTGAGTAGTCATGCTGTACTTCGCTCCGCAGGTAATATGACACATTACATTACAATGGAACGATTTGATTAGTGTAATGTTGGCTAGCTACATAGTTGTATTTTATCAAAGATAAAGGTGTAGTATAGAGTAACTATCGAGGTTAGCTAGCCAGCTACATTCATTCGCAGCGACGCCGTTTTTCAAACAAAGTCAACACCGCAGCCATTGCTAGCTAGCCAACACTACCAGCTACCAGCTAGCAGTACTGTAGCAACTAAATACAATATCCTTTTAGCCAGCTACATTCGTTCGCAGCGACGCCGTTTTTCAAACAAAGTCATCACCGCAGCCATTGCTAGCTAGCCAACGCTACCAGCTAGCAGTACTATAGCAACTAAATACAATATAATTTTAGCCAGCTACATTCGTTCGCAGCGACGCCGTTTTTCAAACAAAGTCAACACAGCAGCCATTGCTAGCTAGCCAACACTACCAGCTAGCAGTACTGTAGCAGCTAAATACAATATCTTTGTGCTAGCTAGCCAACGTTTAATTATTGCTGCGTTATGAAAGGAACTAGACACGGACACGAATTATCTGTTTAGTGTGTTAACACACTATTGGTAGTTTGTTGTAACCAAGTATTGGTGCTAAACCGTGTGTTATTGGATGCTAGCATGCTAGTTAGCTATGGCGTCATAGTTAGCTAGCTGAATAAAGTAAGTTGAGTCTATTCCTTGAAACATTGAACCGCTGTAGTTTACAACAATTCTAATTTCTAAAGTGGAAGTTGGGAGAGTTTTATTCGGGTGTTTCAGTGAAACAATTATAGTTTCTGAGGTGGAAGTTGGGAGAGTTATATTTGGGAGTTGTGGTGAGGGAGGCCCCGCTCTCTCCTTTCCCAGATGTTTAGTTCATTTCATTCCGATCTCCTCTGCATTATTGTAGCCATTTGCTACAGCCTGTCAACTATGCCTCTGCCTATCCCTGTTCTCTCCTCTCCGCACAGGCTACACAAACGCCTCACACCGCGTGGCTGCTGCCTCTCTAACCTGGTGGTCCCTGCACGCACCACACACCTGGAGTTCCAGGTCTCAGGCAGCCTCTGGAACTGCCGTTCTGCTGCCAACAAGGCTGACTTCATCCCAGCCTATGCTACCCTCCAGTCCCTCGACTTCCTGGCGCTGACGGAAACATGGATTACCACTGAAAACACTGCTACTCCTACTGCTCTCTCCTCGTCTGACCATGTGTTCTCGCATACCCCGAGAGCATCTGGTCAGAGGGGTGGTGGCACAGGAATCCTCATCTCTCCCAAGTGGACATTCTCAATTTTTCCCCTAACCCATCTGTCTATCTCCTCATTTGAATTCCATGCTGTCACAGTCACTAGCCCATTTAAGCTTAATATCCTTGTCATCTATCGCCCTCCAGGTTCCCTTGGAGAGTTCATCAATGAGCTTGACGCCTTGATAAGTTCCTTTCCTGAGGATGGCTCACCCCTCACAGTTTTGGGGGATTTCAACCTCCCTACGTCTACATTTGACTCATTTCTCTCTGCCTCCTTCTTTCCATTCCTCTCCTCTTTTGACCTCACCCTCTCACCGTCCCCCCCCCCCCTACTCACAAGGCAGGCAATACACTTGACCTCATCTGGCACAGGCTGGGCTCCCTGCCTGTGCCATTAAACCCCTACAACTCATCCAGAATGCCGCCGCCCGTCTGGTGTTCAACCTTCCCAAGTTCTCTCACGTCACCCCGCTCCTCCGCACACTCCACTGGCTTCCAGTTGAAGCTTGCATATGTTACAAGACCATGGTGCTTGCCTATGGAGCTGTGAGGGGAACGGCACCTCCGTACCTTCAGGCTCTGATCAGTCCCTACACCCAAACGAGGGCATTGCGTTCATCCACCTCTGGCCTGCTGGCTCCCCTTCCTCTGCGGAAGCATAGTTCCCGCTCAGCCCAGTCAAAACTGTTCGCTGCTCTGGCACCCCAATGGTGGAACAAGCTCCCTCACGACGCCAGGACAGCGGAGTCACTCACCACCTTCCGGAGACATTTGAAACCCCACCTCTTTAAGGAATACCTGGGATAGGATAAAGTAATCCTTCTACCCCCCCCCCCCCCCCCCCCCAAATAAAATAAATAAATAAAATAGAAAAAAAAAATATTGTAAAGTGGTTATCCCACTGGCTATAGGGTGAATGCACCAATTTGTAACTCGCTCTGGATAAGAGCGTCTGCTAAATTACGTAAATGTAAAAATGTAAATGTTATGCTCAACCCGCTCAGTTTTCCACCACAAAACACCTGAAAATGGCCAAAAAGTGTTCAACTGCCGATTTGGCACTCCAGGCAGGCTCAACCAAAACCTCAAAGGATAGGAAAGAATACAGATACTATCTGAACCCAGATTTGGGTGAGAAACAGACTGTTAGGCAGCAGGTGTCACTAGAGAAGATCAATCATAGAGCTTCTATACTCAGTTTATCATGATCAACATTTTTATTGATTTTGAAATAACTTCTATATTCATTTTCTATGAGATTCTACTGACTGTGGCCCCATAATTCCCATTTGGTCTAAAATATCAAATAAAGATGAGGTGAACGTGATCGCTGCCCTTTGAGTTGCCTTTTAAAAACACATCAGTGGGCTAATGGCCCAGTGGGTTCATGCATTTAAAACACAACAGGGTTTTCAACCACTGCAGTGCAATGTGACATGCACCAGACTGCAGTCATTCCTCTATACACTTCAACACCCATTATTCTGCTCCCAGGGGATAGTCCCAGCCAGCCAAGGTCTATTACCAATGACCCCAATGGTCCATTCTAACCAATCACTCTTTGACAGGTCACATCGCACCAACGGTCAACTGACTTGACTTGGGGGAGCATAGAGCCATATTCTTCCTCCAATGGTCAACTGGGGGGGGGGGGGGGGGGGGGGGCGATTTCCACCGTTTCAGTTTACTTGAGCACATAAAATGGGCAAATTGTTCAACGGTAAGGTATTGATATTGTTTCTTTAAGGAACTTGAAATATGTTTTGCTAGGTGCTTGCCATGTGTTTTCACCTTTCTGATGAAACGTCAATACTTTTATCCTAATTTAAATAAGTATATAGTATATATAAGAACATACATTTCTATCTTAAGCTTCTTTATTTCTTGCAGAGCAGGAACTGTTCCTTCTTCACCTCATGTAACTCAAATATATGTCACACTCAGTATGTGTCTGGGGTTGTGCTGTCTTCATGGCAATAACTTTGCACAATGCTTTTGCACTACGAAAATGTCAGAGGAAGGAAACTGAAAACGTGAACAGAAAGAGGAATATAAAATAAATAAGTGTGGTGTTGGTGAAACGTCACGGAGTGAAAACAGAAAACTGAGTGAGAGCGAGCAAAAATGGAAGAAAGAGAGAACAGCAAAGAGACAGAGAGAAAAGTTGACACCTATAACAAAGGAGAAGGTTGAGTAAGGACTGATTGAGTGAGTGAGAGCTGGAGGAGGAAGTGTACAAGAAGTTTGAAGAAATGATCAGAGAGGATGATTAAACAGAAGGGAAATGAGGAGGACAGTGAGTGAGAGAAGTAGTAAGTTAGAAATGTAGAGCAGCGAGAGATGGAGACAACATGAGTCATCCCTAAAGGACGACCAGGCTGACCTAAAGGACTTATGTCAGATTAGTAAGACAGAAGGTAGAGACAGAAGGTAGAGGCAGACAAAGTGAGAGATGCAGACAGGGCTCAATAGAAGGTGTTCTGATTTTCTCTGTCTCTGACCAATCTGACTAAACAAATGTAGAGGGAGACGTGGTAGAGGCAAAGGAAGAGGAAGAAACAGACAGAGCCCAATAACAGGTGATTGGTTAGTAAGAGCCAGTCCCAGACCTGATTGGTTCGTTAAAATGATTGACATTGACAGTGGGCCAGTTACCAGATGGTCGCCGGGGGAGACAGGCACCAGGTCAACACTCTCCAGCTGGGCAGTGTGGGTAAGGAGAGCCTCTGGACTGCAGTTCAGGATCTCATCACACACCGCCTCCAACTGACGACACTGACGGGACAGACAGATAGATGTTGTATATGAAAAATGGTTTCACTTATATTTGTTATCTTATATGGGTCTATAATTCCATTTCTACAGATGATCTTATCCAGAGTGACATACAATTAGTGCATTCATCTTAAGATAGCTGGGTGAGACAACCACATATCACAGTCGTATCAATAAAGTATTAATCAGTAAAGTCAATGCTAGTAGGATGTTTTTTTTATGTGTGTGGGCGGTGGGGCGCCTTGGGATTCATTTAAGATACTCTTTGAAGAGGTAGGGTTTCAGATGTTTTCGTGCCGTGGGAGGAGGGGTTGGTTCGTTGGCAGAGAGCAATGGCTAGCTAGTATGCTAACTATTCTAGTTAACTAACTGGCTGAATAAGTTGACGACGTACTCACTCAAACTGTCAAAACTAACCCAAAACTTTACACAACGTTAGACACGGACACGAATGATCTGTTTGGCGTGTTAACACACTGGTGGTTTGTTGTAGCCGAGTATTGGTGCTAAACCGTGTTATTGGAGGTTGGCATGCTAGTTGGCTATGGCGTCATAGGATTCGGTGCCCTAGACGGTTTTCACGGAAGAGTACTGTACCAAGTTAGCTAGCTGAATAAACTAAGTTAGAGTCTATTCCTAGAAAACATTGAACCGCTGTAGTTTACAACAATTATAATTTCTAAAGTGGAAGTTGGGAGAGTTATATTTGAGTGTTTCAGTGACACGTGAGGGAGGGCCCGCTCTCTCGCTTTCCCAGATGTTTACTTCATTTCATTCTGATCTCCTTTGCATTATTGTGGCCTTTTTCTGTAGCCTGTCAACTATGTGTCTGTCTATCCCTGTTCTCTCCTCTCTGCACAGGCCATACAAACGCTTCACACCGCATGGCTGCTGCCACTCTAATCTGGCGGTCCCTGCGCGCACGACCCACGTGGAGTTCCAGGTCTCCAGCAGCCTCTGGAACTGCCGTTCTGCAGCCAACAAGGCAGAGTTCATCTCAGCCTATGCTACCCTTCAGTCCCTCGACTTCTTGGCGCTGACGGAAACATGGATTACCACAGAAAACACTGCTACTCCTACTGCTCTTTGTCTGACCATGTGTTCTCGCATACCCCGAGAGCATCTGGTCAGCACGGCGGTGGCACAGGAATCCTCATCTCTCCCAAGTGGACATTCTCTCTTTTTCCCCTGACCCATCTGTCTATCTCCTCATTTGAATTCCATGCTGGCACAGTCACTAGCCCATTCAAGCTTAACATCCTTGTCATCTATCGCCCTCCAGGTTCCCTTGGAGAGTTCATCAATGAGCTTGACAAGTTCCTTTCCTGAGGATGGCTCACCCCTCACAGTTCTGGGTGACTTTAACCTCCCTACGTCTGCCGTTGACTAATTTCTCTCTGCCTCCTTCTTTCCACTCCATTCCTCTTTTGACCTCACCCTCTCACCGTCCCCCCCCTACTCACAAGGCAGGCAATACACTTGACCTCATCTTTACTAGATGCTGTTCTTCTACTAATCTCACTGCAAGTCTCCGACCACTACTTTGTATCCTTTTCTCTCTCGCTCTCCTCCAACACTACTCACTCTGCCCCTACTCAGATGGTAATGTGCCGTCGCAACCTTCGCTCTCTCTCTCCCGCTACTCTCTCCTCTTCCATCCTATCATCTCTTCCCTCTGCTAAATCCTTCTCCCTCCGATCTCCTGATTCCGCCTCCTCAACCCTCCTCTCCTCCCTTTCTGCATCTTTTGACTCTCTATGTCCCCTATCCTCTCGGCCGGCTCGGTCCTCCCCTCCTGCTCCGTGGCTTGACGACTCATTGCGAGCTCACAGAAGAGGGCTCCGGGCAGCCGAGCGGAAATGGAGGAAAACTAGACTCCCTGCGGACCTGTCATCTTTTCACTCCCTCCTCGCTACATTCTCTTCATCTGTTTCTGCTGCTAAAGCCACTTTCTACCACTCTAAATTTCAAGCCTTTAACCCTAGGAAGCTCTTTGCCACCTTCTCCTCCCTGCTGAATCCTCCTCCTCCTCCTCCCCCTCCCTCCTCCCTCTCTGTGGATGACTTCGTCAACCATTTTGAAAAGAAGGTTGACGACATCCGATCCTAATTTATTAAGTCAAATGACACCGCTGGTCCTGCTCACACTGCCCTACCCTATGTTTTGACTTCTTTCTCCCCTCTCTCTCCAGATGAAATCTTGCGATTTGTGACGGCCGGGCCGCCTAACAACCTGCCCGCTTGACCCTATCCCCTCCTCTCTTCTCCAGACCATTTCCGGAGACCTTCTCCCTTACCTCACCTCGCTCATCAACTCATCCTTGACCGCTGGCCATGTCCATTCTGTCTTCAAGAGAGCGAGAGTTGCACCCCTCCTCAAAAAACCTACACTCGATCCCTCCAATGTCAACAACTACAGACCAGTATCCCTTCTTTCTTTTCTCTCCAAAACGATTGAGCGTGCCGTCTCTAGCCAACTCTCCTGCTATCTCTCTCAGAATGACCTTCTTGATCCAAACCAGTCAGGTTTCAAGACTGGTCATTCAACTGAGACTGCTCTTTTCTGTGTCACGGAGGCTCTCCGCACTGCTAAAGCTAACTCTCTCTCCTCTGCTCTTATCCTTCTAGACCTATCCGCTGCCTTTGATACTGTGAACCATCAGATCCTCCTCTCCACCCTCTCCGAGTTGGGCATCTCCAGCGCTGCTCACTCTTGGATTGCATCCTACCTGACAGGTTGCTCCTACCAGGTGGCGTGGCGAGAATCTGTCTCCGCACCACGTGCTCTCACCACTGGTGTCCCCCAGGGCTCAGTTCTAGGCCCTCTCCTATTCTCTCTATACACCAAGTCACTTGGCTCTGTCATATATCTTCACATGGTCTCTCCTATCATTGCTACGCAGACGACACACAATTAATTTTCTCCTTTCCCCCTTCTGATAACCAGGTGGCGAATCGCATCTCTGCATGTCTGGCAGACATATCAGTGTGGATATCGGATCACCACCTCAAGCTGAACCTTGACAAGACGGAGCTGCTCTTCCTCTCGGGGAAGGACTGCCCGCTCCATGATCTCACCATCACGGTTGACAACTCCATTGTGTCCTCCTCCCAGAGTGCAAAGAACCTTGGGCGTGACCCTGGACAACACCCTGTCGTTCTCCGCTAACATCAAAGCGGTGACCCGATCCTGCAGGTTCATGCTCTACAACATTCGCAGAGTACGACCCTACCTTACACAGAAAGCGGCACAGGTCCTAATCCAGGCACTTGTCATCTCCCGTCTGGATTACTGCAACACGCTGTTGGCTGGGCTCCCTGCCCGTGCCATTAAACCCTTACAACTTATCCAGAACGCTGCAGCCCGTCTGGTGTTCAACCTTCCCAAGTTCTCTCATGTCACCCCGCTCCTCCGCACACTCCACTGGCTTCCAGTTGAGGCTCACATCTACTACAAGACCATGGTGCTTGCCTACGGAGCTGTGAGGGGAACGGCACCTCCTTACCTTCAGGCTCTGATCAGACCCTACACCCAAACGAGGGCACTACGTTCATCCACCTCTGGCCTGCTAGCTCCCCTACCTCTATGGAAGCACAGTTCCCGCTCAGCCCAGTCAAAGCTATTCGCTGCTCTGGCACCCCAATTGTGGAACAAGCTCCCCCACGACGCCAGGACAGCGGAGTCACTGACCACCTTCCGGAGACACTTGAAACCCTACCTCTTTAAGGAATACCTGGAATAGAATAAAGTAATCCTCCCCCCCCCCCCCCAAAAAAAAAAAGAAAGAAAAAAGTGGTTGTCCCACTGGCTATCATAAGTTGAATGCACCAATTTGTAAGTCGCTCTGGAGAAGAGCGTCTGCTAAATGATGTAAATGTAAGATGGACATGGACTCTGCTGTCCTAGCTTCAGGGAGGAAGCTGGTTCCACCATTGGGGTGCCAGGACAGAGAAGAGCTTTGACTGGGCTGAGCAGGAGCTGACCCCCGTAGGGTTTGAGCATAGCCGAGTGCTCGTGTTGGGGTGTAGGGTTTGAGCATAGCCTGAAGGTAGGGAGGACAGTTCCCCTTGCTGCTCCGTAGGCAAGCACCATAGTCTTGTAGTGGATGTGAGCTTCGAATGGAAGCCAGTGGAGTGTGTGGAGGAGCGGGGTAACATGGGAGAACTTGGGAAGTTGATGACACAAGCCTGGATTAGGACCTGCGTCGCTTCCTGTGTGATGAAGGGTCATACGCTACGGATGTTGTAGAGCATGAACCTGCAGAAGAATGTCACTACTTTGATTTTTGCAGCGAATGACACGGTGTTGTCCAGGGTCATGCCAAGTTTATTTGCACTCTTGGGAGGAGGATACCAAGTTGTCAACCGTGATGGAGAGGTTCCGAGTCGCGCAGTGGTCTAAGGCACTGCATCGCAGTGCTAGCTGTGCCACTAGAGATCCTGGTTCGAATCCAGACTCTGTCATAGCCGGCCGCGACCGGGAGACCCATGGGGCGGCGCGCACAATTGGCCCAGCGTCGTCCAGGGTAGGGGAGGGAATGGCCGGCAGGGGATGTAGCTCAGTTGGTAGAGCATGGCGTTTGCAACGCCAGGGTTGTGGGTTCGATCAAATAATGTATGCACTAACTGTAAGTCGCTCTGGATAAGAGCGTCTGCTAAATGACTAAAATGTAAATGTCTTGGAGCTGGCAGGCTTTCCCCGGAAGAAAGAGGAGCTCCATCTTGTCGAGGTTGAGCTTAAGGTGGTGAGCCGACATTCCAAGTCTGCCAGGCACATAGAGATGCGTGTTGTCACGTGGGTGTCAGAAGTGGAGAAGGAGAAAAGTAGTTGAGTGTCATCCGCATAGCAATGATAGGAGACACCATGTGAGGATATGACGGAGCCAAGTGACTTTGTGTATAGAGAAACAACGGCCTAGATCTGAGCCCTGGGGGACACCAGTAGTGAAAGCATGTGGTGCAGACTCATATCCTCTTCACGCCATCTGCTAGGAGTGACCT